CTGCCGTAATAATTATAGCCAGCTCGCACAAGAAGCTTACCAAAATAATCTACTGCTGTTCTTTTTTCACTATAATGGACAGCATCGTTCTTTCAAAATGAAGGACTATATTTCATTTTTTAAAAATTCTTTTTGAGTAACTAATTTTGATTCATTTCTTGAGTCCGTTCTCCACACTAGTCTTGACGAAACTGAATATATAAAGGAATATAAAAGGGCAATCTGGGCTTAGATCCGCATCTCATTTTATGCAATAATTTCACAGCTTTTATCTCACTAATCCGCCGACTGGCACAAAAAAGCTGACGCAAATAGAGATGCAAAAGTAACCAAATATGTTTAAATTTGGTAAAACGCGGAATTCTTGGAAAATCAAACGTTATACAGAATGATACTGATGAAGGGGAATTAAATTCCAAAGTAAGAGAAGTTATGTGCCCTGACAGTCATGCAAAGCCACGATTACACACTCAGAATCGATCAATTCGGTGTACCTAAATGCCAGAAATGGGGGCCATCTACAGCCCTGCTGGCGGGTGGTTGCTGTTCACGTAGAACCACACGAGCTATTTCCGACTGCCTTCATCTCTCATAAAGAGTAAACACAGGGGAGGGTTTGGTTTTTTAAAACAGTAAACGCTTACTTAAAAACAAATGGTGAGGAATCGTACGTGGTACCGTGCATTGCTCCAGCTTTGCCTGCCATACTCTCAATCATCATGCCTGAAAACCAGATCACTCATTTCGGCACCGGTTCCTTACTGATAAAATCAGCGCGGCATTCCCAGCTTTCTCGAAACTGATAATAACAGACCTATTGTCATTCGAGAAGGGAAACCATGAGGGTTGAAGATGATGTCCGGCACCATTCCCGACTCCGAAAATGGCAGTGACTCGGCAGGCCACAAAAATGAATTAATTCCCTTTTGCCCGTGCCTTGAAGCAAACTTGTCGCCAATAATTGGATTCCTCTGGATTCGCCACTGTATTAGTGCGTGCTGAAAAGCAAACCAACAATTCTATGCGCTAATGAGAATACCCACAAATCGATCTCTACTCCGATAACACCTTCTACAACTTGGTAATTTTTTGTGCCATTCGCCTACAAAGAACGCCTAATTCTCTAAATTCATGGCGAAGAAACCAATCCTTTTATAATTCGATCATAACACACAAGCTACCACCAAGTGAAATATGGTCTCTGCTTTTTACGAGAGTCTGAAATGATGTCACATATCAAAATATTAAAAAAAAA